ACTACAATAGAAATGTTGGGATTTTTTTTCCCCCAATCAATTCATTGACATTCTCTGATTATTCAGYATGGAGTCTCTTATCTCTTTGATTCTGTGTTCAGTTGTCCTGGATTTTCATTCTTCCATGCATCTCATTTTTTCCCTCGCTACGTGTTGCTGCCTTTTTTTGCTACTGAAAGCCCAGTAGCCTTTCTCCCGATTTCACTTTGGATCCAGGAAAGTGACAGCAACTGACGCTCCTGCAGAGTGGCTCTGCTTATTGAGTAGACTCACTACAGGTCAGCCCAGACCGGGATTTCCTATTTCATCAGTGCCAGGCTTCAGGGAATCTGCCAAAATAGCTGATCTGGTTGTCTGCTTCTTTTGATGCTGGTTCTGGGTTTAGTTGGCTGCCCAGATGCATAGACTGGCATTGCAACTACAAAGCTGCCATGTTACAGCCAGAAACTCATTAAAAGCTGCAATTTATCACCTTCCTGGCCTCTACATATGACAATATGGTTTGCTGAAAGATAGGCAACCTGATATGTGGCTTCTTTAATATTTCTTTTTTTTTTATTTTTTTTTTTTTTTTTATTTTTTTAAGTACATGAAAATAAATAGGCCAGCTTGGGTCTACACTTTAGAACAAAGGAAAAAAATTACCAGGAGGAGTCTCTAACTTCTTTGAGTATGTGATCCCATTTTTCACCTTTAGGAAGTGTTTTGTTCAGTCAATRCTTCTGATCAAAAGACAGCAAACYTTKCYCTCTCTTCTCTCCCAGTCCCAAATATCTGTTGTTATCTCTAGTGCTGCCTCTAGCAATGTATCTGAATGCTCCCAGTGAAGAGGATGTCTGGGAATTCACATTAGGGAGCAGTAGCATCTGAAAGAACAACYCTGGCTGTAACAATGATCTTCTTTTCTGGGCTAGTTACCATTAAGTCAACTCCAAAACACGAGGGGGACCACATAAACCTTTTGGGGCAAGGGGTTTTGCTCTGYTTCACATCATCCTAGTGCAGGACTATTGCTTGCAGATGTTTTTTGTGGAACATAAAATGCCAGTTGGAGAGAATCAGTAGTTCTGTGAAAATCGTAAGCTCAGGGTTTTATTTATCCTTCCTAAAGATTTCCTAAAGATGAAGTAGACATCCAAGTGGACTCACCTCTTGTAAAATGTGAGGACAGACAGTGTATTTGGATTATTGCAGAGCTGAGGCACGTGCTGCTAACTGAGATGCAAAGAATGAATAAACAATGACTTAATGCCATTCCTGTTTCATATAAAGCCATAAATATGGGGTACAAGTTGCTGACTGAGGCACTAATTCAGCCAGTGGTAGAAATTAATCAGGCCCTAATGCCACTTTTATAGGGCAAAAAGGATATGAAGAAAAAGAACAGACTGAGAAAGCAAAGGGATGGAGCTGAGATCAATTGAATGGGAGCAGACATCTCTGACTAAAGAGCTGTTCCCAGTGCAACCAAATGCTATTAGAAAAAGATTTTGAGCTTTCATAAGGTTTCTCACCTGAATCAGGATGAAAAGTAAACATCAAAAAAATGCTGAAGATACCAGCAAGCTTCACTGCTTAGGCCAATTAAAACACTAGTTTTGAAATTGGAATTATTTCAATCTCTGTCTCTTTGCTTTGCACACTTTTTAGTTTGAATTAAGTAAAACTGAGAAAATACCTTGACATTTTTTCCATCTAGAAAGTGACAAAACTAAGGATGTTAAACATTTTCAAAAATCAGATTAAGAGCCAATTTGTCATTTTAAATTGATAGCATATTGCAGCAAGCAGAGCTGGCAGCCTGGGTTCAGCAGCACCCAGGACTCAACACCCATGTGACGTGGCCATGCCCTGGGCAGCACAGGTCAGCTGTGTGTCTCTTGTGCCAGGGCTGTTTCAGTGGGCACTGCTGCCAAGGCAGCATGGAAGTGGCTTCATCAGAAAGSAGCACCAGGCCTGGTTCTTCTTGTCAGACACCTGTATAGATTTTTCCCTCAAAAAAAAATAGTTATTTTCACCAAAAATATGGTTATAAAGCCATAYAGGATCAAATTACAGCAGTTTGCACTTGCCTCCTTAAGGTAAAGAATAATTAAAGCAGTGCCTTGACTTTCTTTCTCTCCCAAGGAGATAAAGACAAAACTGCTGTTTTATTCCTGTTTTGGTCATTGGTACCTGTGCTAATTAAATTACAATATTTCATTTGTTTCACCGCTAATGTTTTTTTCTCCCCTGTTTAGTGACTTTAGAAAGCACATGGGGGTCTATGAAGAATCAAGCCCTGTGTTCACAGAGCCTGTGAGATTCTCCTTGTCCCTCCACTCACTGCTGAAGGTGTGCACCAAAGCCTGCCCAGAGCTGGCTGCTTCAGTGATACGCAATCTCACAGCCYAGCCAAGGACAAATAAACCACTTGTGTTGCTCTTGAGATGTTTCTGAGGATTATTCTGTGTATCTTGAAAAGAAGTGAAACCTAATGTCCTGGGAAAGTGTGGTGTGGGGGAAGGAGGTCCCTGCCAGGTGGAGGTGGCTRCAGCCAAGCCCTGAGGGAGTTGGAAAAATCTGTCAAAGGCAGCTTCCCTTCCTAAATCCTGCCAAGGAAAAGGATCTTCTGAGCAGAGTCACATTCCACCAACATTTGGCTGCCACCAGTTTTCATTTCACTATGCTTTTTCCACTTGTTTTCGAAGTGGAATATCCCACCCAACAGAAATATATCCTATCTGAAGTACAAACCTGAAAATGGGAACAGGAGCCCTGCCATGGGGGGAGGATGACACATCTGCAAAACACCGAGGGTCTGTGTGATGCCTGCGTGCAGATAAAGGTGACCTCAAGGCAACATCATCAAGATAACTACAGAGCATAATTCCTGATGGGCACTCCCTCTTGCCTGCAGTTGAAAACCACAGTTTGTGAAGTTTGAAGCTTTCCCAGATGATCTGTGCCATAGCATGGCTGTTCCTTTCTATCAGAAGCCCTGTAATAAATGTCTTACCTGGGTTTTTCCTTGCTACAGTTTAAGCTCATTGCTGGTCATATCCTCCAAGGAGGTCTGCACAGAGCAGTTCTTTCTTATTGTCTTTTTAACAGCCTCTTTCTGTTTCTGAAGAGTTATCATGTTTATCTTCAGCCTCTTCTTCCTCAGACTAGATACAACTTTATTCAATCTTGCATCAGAAATCATGTTTCCCAAAGAGGGGG